GCTCTCCTGAACCATTTGAGCTGATGGCCGGCCGAATCCGGATCTTAACACAGAAAATCCGTGTGAGTCATGGAACTTGGAACACTGGAAAGGTGTTGGCAGTGCAGGAGATGACACGAACCGCCCGGAGCGCAGGCGACGATCCGGCCGCTCCGCGCTTTGGTGGCTGCACTCGGCTGAAGCAGCTTCTCTTCAGAGCCCTGGGAGGTCTTGTCCTTCCGAACGCCCGGCTCAAGCCTTGGGAGAGGCAGGAGGTCCTCCATCTGCCCCATTTCTGCACTATGAGGTTCTTCCTCTTCTCAAAACATCGCTCCCAACTCCCTTGTGGTTCAAAATCCACCAGGAGTAGCTCAGCACCCTCTCCCGTGGCCGTGGCTTCCTACCTGAGCTTCCCATGTCCTTCTCCCGTGGCCATGGGCCTTCTCCCATGTCCTTGGGTCTTCTCCCCTGGCCGTGGCTTCCCACCCAAGCTTCCCGTGTCCTTCTCCCGTGGCCGCGGGCCTTCTCCCATGTCCTTCGGTCTTCTCCCATGTCCTTCGGTCTTCTCCCATGTCCTTCGGTCTTCTCCTGTGGCCATGGCTTCCCACCCAGGCTTCCCGTGTCCTTCTCCTGTGGCCATGGGCCTTCTCCATGTCCTTGGGTCTTCTCCCATGGCTGTGGCTTCCCACCCAAGCCCTTCAGTCTCCCAGCTGGTGGTGCAAGAGGAAAAACATCTGGAGGGCAGCGATGTTGGAAGTGGGATTGTCAAGGTCAGAGGTGTGACGGTGAGGTTTGAACCCCGAGAACGTTGCAGAGGAGGAGGAGGAGAACGGTCACCTGCGCACGGAACGGCTGAACTGGGATGGAACAGCCTGAGCTCGCTCCGAGGCTTGGGCAGCCGGAATGTTTCTGGCAAGGGAGCTGCGACGTGCTCCGTCTGGGAATCCGGCCACGTCTGTCGCTCCGGGGGCTTTGGGATCGGGTCAGAGACGTTCCCCAGGGACAGCCCGTGCCAAGCCGCTCGTGTCGGGCTCTCCGCTCCCGGGATGACACGTTCCACAACACGTTTGTTTTTTTTTTTCTCCACAGCTCCTGGGGCAGCTGGAAAACACGGGCCCACCTCCGGCCGACAAAGAGAAGATCTCCTCTCTCCCGACAGTGACAGTAACTCAGGAACAAGTCGGTAAGTGAAATCGGTGGCCGGTCCCGACGTCGCTCGTCTCCCGGCGCGTTGACGTACCCGTCCCGGGCTCCCTGCTCCCTCCACCGCTGTATCCTCACGCTTCCAGCGCTGCTCCGTGCTCCCGCTGCCGCCTCCGCTCGCGCTGGAGACGCTCCTGTTTTTTTTTCCTGCGCTTTGCGGCGGCCGGTTCTCCTGGACTCTCTGATCTCCCGGCGTTCAGCAAAAACCTCCTTCATTCCTCAGACACTTCCCAAATTCCCCATGGCTTTACCACCTTCCAAACTCTTCCATTTCCGCTGCTGTTTCCGGGCTCGG